TTCTCATTCGCCTAGATGCGTTCGGAAAAATATTTAAGCTAAATAAGAAGAAAAAAAAAATTTTTTCCGACCTTTTCTGACGATCTTTAAATTTAAAGGTTGTTCGCTAAACAATATTAGAAAATGGTTCTTAATTTCAAATCTTTGTACAGCCTGTATAAGTACGAATGACAATGAAAATAAAGGTGATGTTTAATAATCTTAAAAATAATTTGCTGTTTCTATTGCATACTATTATATAATTATTATAACTTTATTTTGGAAACGACGCTTTTAAAACAGCGGACACGCTCTTGCAGTGTGTTTATAAAAGTACAGCCATAATACAATATTAAAATTGAGACGAGACTTTTAATACAATAAAATGTACGTTACAGTATAACTTTCTTGAACGACATCGTTAATCTCGATTATTACAGTATTACTATTATGATGAAATTATGAATAAACCTCAAATAACAATAATTATTAAAACCTATAAATCATTTGCACAAACTGTAACTAAGCAGCAGGGGCGGATCCAGAAATGTCCAAAAGGGGGGGCCGGAAGGGGGGCCGAAAGTTGGGCCGATTGAGACAACACTGTCGTAGGGGGTCCGGGGGCACGCCCCCGCGAAATTTTTGTGTTCTAGACACCCGAACATAACATTTGAGGTATTCTTGGCCATCATTTTTTTCTTTTTCTCTCTTTTTTTTCTTTTTTTTTTCTTTATTTACCTCCCAAAAGGGGGGGCCGGGGCCGGGCCGGCCCCCCCCTAAATCCGCCCCTGAGCAGTAAGCTGATATTGTGAAGCACAGCGCCTGGAAAACCAAGCGTAGGCCTGGCATTCCCGTGTGGGCCTATAATACTGTATACAAGAGCTCAGCCTAGATGGAAGCCTTGCAAATGTCGACCACGAAGTCGCCGCTAGCCTAGCCTATAAATATTATTAAATTACACCGAACTAAAGGGTGATATGGTATGCAGATCGCAACTGCCGACTCCATATATAATATAATTACTTGATGACATGTTAAACATACCTCGATAAATGATATAGTATATAATAATACATGAAGATCCAGTGGTAAAAAATAGTATAGACTGTCACAACATCTCATGTTGTTGTCTCCCACCGATAACCAGTTCGCGCGTGGCGGCATAGTAAATTATTACGCGCAGGCGTAACAAACATGTCATGATGTCATGATATCCCATTCCCCCAAAGAGTGACGGAATGTCACAAATATAACATCAAACTGCAAAAAAGGTTTAAAAATGTTCATACAAAATGTCTCAATTTGGTTTACAATAGTATAATTGGTAATCAAAGTGCCACACTAATCACAACGAAGTGCAAACTGATGATTTCAGTAAGTCCAAAAACGAATCACGTAATCCAAATGAGTGTGAATACATATCTCAAAGTCCAACAAACAACGATAATTATGTACTGTAATCATTACACAGTAATTCACATATTGATTTCTTTGGGCAGCGTTCGGCGTACACCCATACACAGTACAGACATACTCAAACTCTATATGTCTGATCGTTCTGTGCTTTTCATTAGTAGGATTAGTTTGGTGACAGGTTTCTTCGCATTGGTTCCATCAGCAAAGTTGATGTCCACAACTCTCACAAGATCATCCTTCCCTGGGTTTAATGACTTCAGCCATTTTCCAAAGGCCGCGTTTCTTCTCCTCACCAATGACGAGCACTATGTCTCCTTTAATCAGATTCTCAGTGGATTTCAGCCATTTGTGTCGTGGTGAAAGTTTATGCATACATTCCATCCAGCGTCGCCAAAACCCATCCACCATAGCATTGCAAATCTCTCTACGTTTTCGTAAGTTTCCTTTGTACTCTTCACATGGTACTTCAGGACATGGCAAATCGCCTCTTCCAATCAAGAAGTGGTTTGGTGTCAACGGTGGATGATCAAGTGGCGATGATGACTGAAGTTAAGGGTCATCCATTGATAAAACCGGATATTTGACAGAACACAGTCTCCCATTCAACAAATGTAAGGCGATCTGCTTTCAATAGGTGTCTCATTCCCTTTTTGACTTCTTGGACCATGCGCTCAACAGCTCCTTGGTGGTGGGGTCCACCGGGCGGTCCAAATTTCCACTGAACGTTATAATGTTGGCATTGTTCTCGGACTGTGGCCTGGTCCAATTTTAGGTTTAACTCGAATTTATGGTGTTGTTAGCTCCTCTAAAGCAGGTGCCATTGTCGCTCACTAACAAAGATGGAGCTCCTCTGATGCTTACAAATCGTTCCAAAGCTTGTAGAAATGCTTGGGTTGACAGATCTTGAACACATGTTAAGTGCACAGCCCTAATTACTGCACAAGTAAATACTGCACAGTAACCTTTGGTGGTGGTGTTCCTGTTCAGCTTTACATTCACCGGACCAAGGTAATCTACAAGTGTGGTTTTGAATGGAGGTGAACATGGGTTCACTCGGAAATCGGGCAAGTCTGCCATCCTTTGCTCTATTGGTTTTCCTTTGTGTCTCCTACAAATAATACACTGACGCACAACTACCTTAGAGATGTTTGTGTCTCCAACAATCCAGTACCTTTTCCTAACTTCTGTCGCAGTTCTGAGATGTCCCCCATGAAGGGCATGTGTGTGTCTGTCACGAACAATTATCAGGCTAATATGACTTTCCTTTGGGAGAAGGTAAGGGTGTCGCACATCATATGAAAGTGGTGCATTGTCCATTCGTCCACCAACACGGTACACTCTCTTGTTCTCATCAAATATTGGATCTAACTTCATAATGTTGTGGTTGTTGAAATTGATACCTGTTTCTGCTTGTCGAATCCAATACAACTCTGCTTCCCTGAGTAGCTTAGAAGAAGGCCACTGTGATATTTGCTGGGTTAACCGCTTTAACCATAGGTTCTTTGGCAGTTCCTTCAACGAGAGCACCCTAGCTGTGATCATCTTAAGCCTTGGCCAACTGGAATACTTGCTGGCATCGACTATTGGTTGAGACTCAGGAATAGAATTTATTTTGAGTGCAAGTGTCTTAGCATTTCGGATGTGAAATTTCTTCTGTTCTCTATCTTCAGGGTCAACTTGAATATTCTTTGGAGTTTTTGGCCAAGAAGCAGGTGGTAGTCGTAGATACTCAGGTCCCTCGATGACCCTCTTCATGTCATTGACTGTTCCTCCTCTCGAAACAATGTCTATGATGTTTTGGTTCGATGGTACATGAACGATATCTCTGATAGGATCGAACTCAGTCGTGATCTCACCAAGCAACATAGGAGCGAAAGGACTTGGATTGCCCTCTCAACCAGCTAACTGCAGTCATACTGTCTGTCCAGATCCTTGAGTATGCTATGTTGAACCTCAAAGCATTCTTTACGGTAAGCATTAATCTTGGCAACAGCAGAATTGCCTGAAGCTCTTTTCGTGGAATACTTGACTGCTTAAGTGGTGTTAGTCTGGCCCGTGCCCACACAAACGACAGATAAGCCACAGTCATCTCAGGATGAGACCATCTCAGCCACACTCCAATACCCATGGCATCTTCTGAGGCATCGCTCGCACCATGTAGAGATACTTCCGGCAAAGGTCTTACTCCTTTGAAAGGCTCTGGAATGAGGCATCTAGGAATTTCAATGTTAGTTGTTTTTTCAAGATCTTTATTGATCTCGTTCAATATAGCACAGAGCTCACCTTTTTGGTTAATTGGGGTATCCCAATCAAGGTTCAGCTGCCATAGTTTCTGTAGAAGAATCTTTGGTCGAACAAGAATACCAGAGAGCATTCCGAAGACATCATAGTAAGAGGCGGTCTGCTTTAATATATTACGCTTGGTTGGGACAAGTCCTTGCATCGGCTTTACTTCTTTGACCTTTAATGTGTCGTTCACAAGGTCCCACCTGGTTCCCAAAGCAGTGGCAGCACTTTTATCTTCTGATTTGTTACACAAATTCTGTACATTAGATTGCCATTTTCTTATAGCAAATTTTCCTTTATTCAGGGTCTCGG